GGGTTACCAGCTCTTACTTAATGTAGGGCTGCAGGGCACCTGGAGAAGATCGGGAAGGGAACCCAGGCATTTAACCCCCCCCCCCCGAGTCTCTCTGCAAAAGCAGAGAGGCTCAGGGGGAAAGGGGCCAAGTCTGCCCGCCTCCCTTTCCCCTCCCCAGCCAACCCACTGCGGGGCACCTGGAGAACTTCAGGCAGGGAACCCAGTCTCTTCCGCAAAAGCAGAGAGGCTCAGGGGGAAAGCAGCCGTGTCTGCCCACCTCCCCTCTCCAGCCAACCTGCCGTGGTGAACTGGCTGGAGAGGGGGAGGGCAGGGAGGCAGACATGCCTGGCTCCCCTGCCTCATCTTCTCCAGGTGCCCTGCGGCTGCAGGGCGCCTGGAGAAGTTCAGGCAGGGAACCCAGGGATTTAAATGCCCCCCCCCCCAGTCTCCGGCGGCGGCCAGGAAAGGCGGAGGGCAGGGCCTGGGCTTTACAACGACATTCGAGCAAACAAAATAATGAGTCCCTGCTCCTGTGAATTAATTTCAAAGGCAGGAATCACTATTATGCTCTGAATATACATCTGAACGTGGGGCATTAAATAGATACATAATTGTGTATGCAGAGAGTACCATCTTATTCAGTGATCGGTCACGGGGGGGGGGTTAATTTTTAATTAAATGGGAAGCAGGCAGATATTTCCATCACACTGTAGGAAGAGGCATTTTTAATTCAGTAGAACTCTTTCCTCTTGAGTCCTGCGTGTAGAGAACATTGGATTGTTCTATGTGGTTTCTGTCTTGATGTTTGATTGGTGCTGCAGTAAGAGTAGTTAATAAGAAAGACCTGACGATCGAGCCATGCAGTGAAATATTGATGGTTCAGTCCAAATATTTATGGCTGAGTCCATAATTCCTGTTTAGAGAATTATTTTAAATTATATCTAACAGGATCTTAGGAAACAGGAGAGTGGTCCCTTTTCTCAATGAAGCACAACTTAAATTGCAAGGACCATGAAACTATCACAGCAAGTGCCAGCACAGAAAGCCAGAGAACACAAAACATATTTCATTTTTGCTTACCTAAACCAAGGTAAGCCAAAGTACAAAGTGCACAGGTTTGTGACTCACATACGGACCAGTTTGCACAGAAGCTGAACACACGCACAGGCACCTCTTCTTCCCCCAAGTTATTATTTGTTTTTAGCACTTTCTGACTATTTTTCCATAAAAAATATTTAGAGTGATATACAAAAATATTACTGTTTTCTTATAATGTAGCCACTGCAGGCTGAAAAACAGGGATGTAGAACTGTTCAAATGATAAGGATTCTTTTACTCTCTCTGTATTGCTTTACATGTTTTCCAAGGCTTGGAAACTTGGCAAAGGGTTGTCTATGCATTCCAAGACTGTGGGCAGTATGTTTTCCAATGCTGGCTTTCCAATTAATTGTCTGCAAACAAGGCCTTAACAAAAGTCAGTAGTAGAGCTGATAATATGTGGCTGCAGGGCAAATTGTAACCGCATTCATGGCTAAACAATAACATTTTGCTAGTTTAAGCAGCTGCTTTATTAAATAAAATGTAGACCGTTTGTGCTGGACACTTTGTCACTCAACCAACTTCTGGAATGTTTGTGGTGGTAGCCAACATAGATATGGGCGCTTGGTGTTTTCACATGATGTATATCAAATAAACTGCAATCCAGACAACTAGGTGACCATCTAAATGCTTTGAAGTTGAGTGAACAAAGTATTTGGGAAGAATGTAGAGAAGAAGAAGAGGAGGAGGAGGAGATTGGATTTATACCCAATTTTTATAACGACTACACCAAACTGGCCCTGTATATATGCAGGGTGGAATAATGGATTCCCCACAAGCCCATCTTGATGGTCAACTCACATTCCTAGCAAGCCACTTTTGGGAGCTATACAGTTATGTAGTAGAAAGAGCCCCATTTTTCATCCAATGAAAAATTCACCCTTCCTACCCTTGCACTAAATTTGGTTGTGTCACTGGATGACCTCGCAGGAAGGGATGTAGAACTGAAGAAACAGGAAGGGGTTTGTTTCACTCTAAATCAGCATAGGTATTTTTTGTTAACTTGCTGCAAAAATGATCACCAGCAAAATGGCAAGAGCAGATTTTTAAAATTATATATTACTTGTGCTAAGAGCAGAGGTGTTTGCAACAGCTGTTGAAGGAGATGGAAGATCTGAGGGCCTCAGTTATAAAACTCGCTTTCCCAAAGCTTGTTCTTTAACTTCCCTCACCCAAGTCCACAGTAAAAGGTAGCAGTTAGGCTAATGAATATGATTCTTTTCATGGTCAGCTTCAGAGGAAAATGTTTTCAGTAAGTGCGCAAGGTGTCTTTGGCTGTGTTCTGATGTCAAGCTAGTATTAAGCCTGAGTGTACACAAACCCTGCCCATTGCTGGGCTTGCAGTAGGGTTGCCAGTCTCCAGGTGGTGGCTGGAGATCTCCTGGGATTACAACTGATCTTCAAGTGACAGAGATCACTTCACCTGGAGAAAATGGCCCCTTTGGAAGGTGGATTCTGTAGCATTATATCCCACTGAAAACCCTCCCCTCGCCAAACCCCACCCTCCTCAGGCTCCACCCCCAAAATCTCCAGGTATTTCCCAACCCAGAGCTGGCAACCCTATTTCGTACATTCACCTGGCTTCCCCCTCCCCCAATTTAAAATTAACTCCAGTTATTTGAGATGTACAAATACAAGCACTGAAACTAATCAAAGTTGGGTTCCTCCTCATCAGTCCAGAGTTCTAAACCAGGGTTTAATCTTTTATTTAGAATTCTGATTTTGGCATATGGTTATTATTGTTATGTTCTCGGGTTAAAAATCAATTAAAACTATGAAAAAAAATCTGGGGAAGGAGCTGGGGGAAAAAAGAATCCTGGTTTGTTGGTGGAAAGCTAACCTCAGTTCAGCCGCACAGCTGCCATTCGTATGTCTGAGGTAACTGCAATTAATTTGAAATCAAAATTCCTCCATTGTATTTTTCCATGTGGAGGGAAGAGTGAGGTGCATACATGCTCCTGTTAACACATCATTTTTGTGTGCATAAAGGCTTCATGTTCATTTGATGTGGTGTCTCAATGCAGTCTCAGTGATTGATTGGTTGTGTAGGCTTTAGAAAGGTTTTGGTGACATGGGAAATTGTGGTCTGTTTGTGATGGGCCCACCTATGCAATCCAGTCGTTGTCCACATTTTGAGCAAGATTAAAAAGTAGTGAGTATCATCCAGTTATGAAAATTCTTGTGGAGTATGAAATCCACATAGGATTCTTTCTTTCATTAAAATTACTGTGTTAGGTAAAACATATTTTTCCTTAAGCAAAGGAAAAACGGAGCCCCCCAACAAAGGAAACTGTATTCCAGCCATATCTGTCCTGATGACAGAAAGCTTTTCAGCTTGGCCTGTATTATAAATCAGATTGTGTGTTTAATGGATGACTCTGGGATGGCTAGGTGTCTCTTAAGTTTTCATATTCTCTATGCATGTTCTGTCTTAGTCACGCTTATGCTTTTTGGTCCTGGACTGCACAGAATAATTTGTTTCTTTCCCTTCTAGGTTTGAGAACGTTAGTGACTTTACCTCAGAACTAGAGGACAGCGATGACCCAGCAGCTTATGTCACCAACTTGTCATACTACCACCTTGTTCCATTTGAGACAGACATTTTGGACTAAGACTGTCAAATGAACTTCATGGCTGAGGACTTATTCACAACATCCACTGCCCCCATACCTTTGCATTAGTCACACATGCCAAAGCTGTGTGATGAACAGCACAGCTAGCTATAAATACTTGTCTGGAAGCTTATAGCTGCTTGGTTCTTCACTGTGGCTTCTGAAGGCACCTTGAAAAGATCAAGGACAGCTGAGAGACCATTCATATTGCCAAAGGAATGAAGCAAGAAGAGACATGATGCAGCCAAGTCAGCAGTGGCCACTATGCCGACAAACACAAGTTGATGGCACAAAATATCATGGTGCACTTTCTTTCTGATAATAGGGTCAGACTTGCAAAGATGATTCAAATAACTTTTTTCTCAAACTTTCCCACTGTAATAATGTTTTAAACATTTTCTTCAGAAGGTCACCTTTCTTTAGACACCAGCTTCTTTTTCAGTTCCTCAGAGTGACCCCTTATAACAGGTGTCATTGTGATTTGTTCGCTGAGAGGTGCCAGATTAACCAATGCCTTATGTCATGTGTGCCTACAGCAAAAATACACATTAACAGATTGCTTAATTTATTCTAGGCCTGGAGTTGTTTTATTGACTCTTCCAAGGGCCTTTCTGTCTCACTTGAAATACTATTATTGTTATTAATAGAGGAAACAAGCAAGTTGCTTCGGAAAACAGAGCAGAACCCCATAAGTGTTAGATACTTTGTCAGAATTTCTAGAGGCTCTTTTAGAAAACAGAGGATATTTCCCCCCTCTCTCACAAACCAGAAAAGTGGGAAATTCTCAGTATTACAGTGTTTACATAAGAGAGGTGTGGTTTAGCTGTCTAAGAGCTGGAGCTTATTTTCACGACAAGGATGCCAACCAAAAATGGCTTTCCAGTATAAATGGGATCTCCATCTGTCTCCTGCCCTAATGAATTAGAAATACTTTAGGAACTTGGAGCAGGCGCATGGAGACTCGTGGCACCCTGGTGCTAACCCAGGCAGTAAGTAGTTCTGTAAAACCGTACATTGGAAAGGAATCATTTACCAGTGAGAGATTATGTGTAGTGACAAATCAATGGCAGTTTCAGCTCGAGGATAAATCTGTCTCTGATATTGCATAAAGGTGGTTTCATGACAGTACAAATCAATATTAGTTTTACAATCATAGGGGGCATAGGAAGCAGGGAAGCCGTCAGTGTTCCCTATTATCCCACATACAGATCCTTCTTATCCAGTAACAAGGTGGTCTAAGTATCCCCATGGGTATGGTTGCCAGCCTCCAGGTGGTGGCTGGAGATCTCCGGGAATTACAATTAATATCCAGGTAAGAAAGATCACTTCCCCTGGAGAAAATGGCTGCTTTGGGGGATGGATTCTGTGGCATTATACTCTGCTGAAATCCCACCTGTCCCCCAAAATATCCAGGTATTTCCCAACCCAGAGCTGGCAACCCTGCCCATGGGGCATGCATGTTCCTCCAGTCTCTACCCTTAAGAAATGGTTTCACAATCCCACCCGGCTTCTCATTCTCCACCCTTCCTCCCTGGCTTGCCTTCAGGGTTTCTATCCTGACTGAAATAGGTCCTCCTTTTTCTTTATTAGCTACGGAACATGTAGCAGTACGGGTGGTCTGGCTGCCTCCAGCGACATGCTGCAGAAACTCAAAGTTTATCTGTGCTGCTGTTAAAGCCCCAGGGCACCTTTAAAGATCCTTTACCACGGTTAAATGCTCCTCTCAGGTAAACGGGAGGAAAAGAATGTTGGCTCTCATACTCCATTATGGAAAGGGGACGCAGTCATGGCTCCCAGTCCTGAGACAGATAGGGATGAAAGGGGAGAACTGGTTGTGTGTGATAGTGGGGTAGTTTGTGTGTGGTGTGCATGAGAGACTTGATGCAGCATTTAATGACTGGATGATGCTATGTTAACCCTGTTCTTGGCACAAGCTGATCGGCCTGCAGAACACCTGTTGTCACCACTCAGATTACACTCTGATGACTTCATCTGGTTTAACAGTCATTCCTTCTATCCAGAGATCCTGGGAACTGTATTTCGGAGATCAGGGCTTTCTTAAACCAGCATTTGCAATACCCTCACCAAGTTACAGCCCCCAAGATTCTTTGGAGGCGGCCATGATAGTTTTAAAACCAGTTCAGGTTTATAAGCATAGACGTGATTTTGCTTTTAAAATGGTATATCTGCCAGAACATATGTACAGGATTTGAAAAGGGGAAAAAAAGCACATTCCAAGTTACTAGTCTTGGTTTTTTTGTTTGTTTTCCTTTAGCCCAGAGGACTATGGTACATCTCCTGTGAACCTTTCAGTGTTCTTTTGTATAATAATTGTAAAACAAAATTTGCTACTGTAAATAGTAATAAATTATTGAGAACCCTAATTCTTTTGCAGGATACATTTTTCTGATATATTTTAATGAAATAAAATATTATTCCTCTGAAATGTAACATCTGTCATTGGGTTTTGTTCTGTTTTGAACCAGAGTCATATCACTGGCTCATTTAGCCCAGTGATCCCCAGCCTGGCGCCTCTGGGAACCATAGTGCATGCTAAGGGGTTTCCTTGGGCCCCTTTGCTTCTTCCCCCAAACAAAAAACCAATCCTGGCTTTCCTCCACATCACTAGAGCAGGAGAACCCAGAAACAAGTGACTTCACCAAAGGAGGATGCTTGGCTTGCAGCTTCCCAGCATTTTGTGATGGGCCCCCAGCCCTCCATGGCAGCCATTTTGTGGTGACCCCAATTCTCTATTATCAAAATTCTAAAAGTGTCCACTTGCACGACTTGAGTGGGGACCCCTGATCTAGCCCTGATCTAGTCCTCTAAGCAGTTCTCCAGGGTATCGGGCAGAGGTATTGTCTTTCCCAGCCCTGCTACCCGAATCCTTTAAGTGGAGTTGCCAGGAATCAATCCTGCAATCTTATTCACGCAAAACATCTAACACTACTCTTTCTCCAAGGAGCTCAGGACAGCTTATATGGTCCCTCTCCTCCACTCTCCTACCCTGTGAGGTAGGATAGATGAGTAACTAAATATGCTCAAAACTTAAGTATTCATCTAACTACCCAAGGACTCAGGCTGGAATTACTCAGCACAGGATTGCATTGCCAGCAGGACTTTGAATCTAGATCTTCAAAGTCCAAGTCCATTACAATGAGTATGTCTGCTTGCTCTTGATGGAACAGAAATCTAAAGAGATCGTTGAGAATCAGGGTTGCTTTAGTAAATTAGTTTTGGGGGGTGGGAATAATACATCGCTATTTTTCCCAAATGGTCAGTCAGTGGTGCTGCAGATGTAATTAATTGCCAAGAGAAAACTGAAAATCCTGCTCTTTGTATCAAAGACAGAAATGGTGGGTAAACTCAATCAATGAAATTATGTGGTTTTAAAATTCAAAAGAATTATTAAAAAATAAGGTTCTTTTTTGTTTAGTCTCCCCTTCCCAAAATTCTCTGGATAGCCCAATTCATTCGTGTGCTGTGCCTTTGATCCAAGCTGAAGTTAGGACTCCAGAGGGATTCTGGTGAAAACATAAGAAATAGGGATGGTTACATGAATATTTTAGTTTTCATGGAATTTGCATGATAATTACCTTGACTCTTAATCTGATGTCCTTACTCAAATTTCCTGTTCCTTTCTCTTCTGTTTAGCATCAGGATAAAATTTTCTTTAAACCTAAAGCTAGTCTTGGATTGTCAGACCTTGTAAATACATACATTTCCAACAAAAATCAGAATAAGTTTAGTATTTAATTCAAAGTCGGAGTATACTGATATATTTTTTACCGTTTATCATTTTATAGTCTGATGTATTCTGTTATGGCCTATGGCTAAGACAATAAACTTGTACTTGTACCAAGGTACTTACGGTTCTGTAAGTGGGTAAACGTTTCTGTAAATTCAAAATAACCATTCTTATACAACTAGTTATGTTTGAATGTGAACAATTCATAGAGACAATACATTTTAGGGTAGGACATTTTTTTCTCCAGGCAGTTGGCAACCATGAGAAAGTTATAATAAATTTTGTTGGTTATAAGGAAGAGTTCCCATTCATTTGTTTGAATTCCCACATAGAAATATAGTGGCCTCGCTTAGCTGAGAAAGTTTGCAACAGCCCTGGCCTGTATCCTGTTTGGGAGCAAACCTGTTACCCTCTGAGCCTCAGGTTAAATGAATCAGTAACTTTGTTGTATTGAGACCCGTTTTTTCTTTTCATAACCCCATTCTATTGAAGAGGATGACATTGTGGATTCTGAATGTGTTCTGTATTAGGTAAGGTTTTTGTAAAGGTGTAATGCATCTCTGGGGGCCTAATTATAAATCTCTGTAGATGTAAAAGGTGTGGGTGCACTCCCAAGAAAGCAAGAGGCTCTTAAAGGGTTTAAACTGTGGTGATTTTCTAATTTAGAATAACAGAACCACAGAGTTGGAAGGGGCCATACAGGCCATCTAGTCCAACCCCCTGCTCAATTTCCATCTAGCATCTTTTACAGCATGGTTGGGATGAAGGGCCACATATGGTTTCTTTCCCGTGCATGGAGTTGGCTGATAATGTCAACTGGGACTATGCAAGGGCACTAATTTCCCCAAGAAAAGCAATATTACCCAAGTGATGCCCAACACAACACATTTAGCACTGGCAATGTCTGATTGTTCTGTTTCCTCTAAACTGGTCTTGAATAGTTTTGATACCAATATTGCATTGCCAATGAGAACAACAATCATGCCAAGGAGAAATATTTTAAGATTCTCTTTTTCAGTAACAAAGTGAAGGTCTTCTTAGGCATTGCTCTTGGCCCCAATAACTTCTTTGAAAATTGAGATGATGTTGTTAATATTTCCTAAAGAGGTAGGCAGTAAGAGGTGGAAGGAATAAAACAATGAGGATCTAGCAAATTAGTTAGCGTATAAAGCAACCACCATCTCACAGCATTTGGGACGGTGGATGTGGCTTGCAGGAACCCAGCTGTTCTCCACAAGCACTCTTGTTGACTTGGTGCTTTCTTTGGCTTAGCTGTAAGCAGGGCTACAAAAAGCTGCTTTTAAATGCATGAAGGACTAGCTTTATTATGTGTATTCTATCAAGTAACTGCAGAAAAGACCAGTTGGCAGAGTTCCCATTCTGTGTCCCTTTCCAATCAGAAGTGTGAATGTACCTTCTGCGAACATGCGAAGATCAGGGGCCTTGGCTAAAATTTAAAACCCTTCGTAGGTTCTGTATTCTGCAGTCACGTCTGCGCACCATCTAAGACCTTCCTCATCAACATAATCCAGATATTCTCTCACCATACATGGAACAACAGCACTGCCTCTTCCACTCGGAATAGTGGTGGAGAACTTGCTGATCCTCATAGGCTCTTGGGGCTTTGTAAATGTGCTGTTGACACCACTGGTCTTCTGCTGGTGGGATGGAATCTGTACCACTAGGGGCTGGCATCCTGATCTAAAGTGGATTGCACCAGTGGCATAATCAGCACGATTTTTAAGAGAAGGAGAAAGAAGCAGAAATGCACACAGAGCTCAAGAGAGATCACATGTGAAGGAAGACAGTTCATAGAAAAGGGAATCTGGGCATGTGTTGCTTATGTAATCCTACATTACAAGCTGCTCTTGTCAAAAATCCGTCTTCCATTATTATTTAAAGTACTGGAGTCTCATTCTCTTTGGCATCTGGTCACCCTAGGACTAGAGAAAGAAGCAAAATGAAACGAAAAGTTGGTCTCATGTTGCAGAATGGGCACAGAGGTAGATCCTGGATGTGCTTAGCATGGTCTCATCACCTTACTCAGGGCGACTGAAACGGTGACAGAATTCCAAGAGCCCTGATCATCCTGTGGCTCCATGGAGCTGGGCAAGTCATGTGATTTCCTCTTATATGCTATTTGGCTAGAGTATGGGTGGTGTGAGGGGTTCCAGGCAGAACCCTTATCTGAGAGATTCTCAGGAGCCCTAGCCTTATGTGAACGACACAATAAACTACACAAGGGGACTGTAGGTGAGCAGGGAAAACTGCCAGTACTTAAGGTAGGGTTGTGAACCTCCAGGTGGCACCTGCTGATCTCCTGCTATTACAATTGATCTCCAGGCAACTAAGATTAGTTCTGCTGGAAAAAATGACTGGCTTGTAGGGTGGACTCTATGGCATTATACCTTGCCAAGTTCCCTTCCCCCTAAACCTCACCCTGCACAGGCTTCACCCCCAAAATCTCCAGGCATTTCCCAACCCAGAGCTGGCAACCCTACCTTAAGGCCCAGAGGAAACAGGAGACCTGGAACAGGAAGAAACAAATATAAAAGAGCCAGAGAGATGAATGTGAATGGAGGGGGGTCAGAATGAGATGTGTATTGTTGATTTGTTTGTATGGAATGGTAGATATG